AAAACAATCTTTTGGACTGGGAGATGAAGGACCCAGTGAGCCGAGATCACACCACTGCACTCCAGCCTGGTGACAGAGCGAGACTCCGTCTCAAAAAATAAAAAAATTAAAAAATAAATTCACCTCAAAATCCCAGGAAATCAAAAGAGAAATAGATTAGTTCAAATTAAAAAGCTGCTGCATGGAATCTGATACAATCAACAAAATGAGATAACTTAAAAAATCGAGAAAATATTTGCAAATCATACATGTGACAAGTGGTTAATATCAAAAATACATAAGAAACTCAAATGACTATATGACAAAAGACAATTAAAATGAGTGAAAGTCTTAAATATTTTTCAAGACATACATATGGTCAAGAGATACATAAAAATGCCCAATATAAGTTATTATCGGGGAAAGGAAAGCAAAAAAACTGTATAAACTCATTTCTGTTAGAATTACTCTTATTTTTAAAAATGTGTTAGTCAAGGTGTGAAAAAATGGCAATGTTTGCACACTGTTGGTTTGAATGTGAATGAGGACAGTCATTATGAAAAACAAAATAAAGCTTTCTCAAAAAAATTTAAAATTAAACCACCATATAATTTTATTATTGGTTATATAACCAAAACAAACGATATCAGAATGAAGAAACATTTGTGCTTGTTTTTTGCAACACTCTTCATAATTACCAAAATATAGAATCAGTGGTTTCAACATTTAATGAGTAAACAAAGACAATGTGGCATATACACACAATGGAATACTATTCATCTTTAAAGAAGAAAATTTTATTATTTTCAATCACATGAATTAACCTGGAGGAAAACATTATATTTGTCAAAATAAGCCAGGCACAAAGATTATTATTTCATGATTTCACTTACAAAAGGATTCTAAAAAACTTAATCTTATTGAAGTAAAGTGGTGACCACCAGACACCAAGTTATTTAGGAGAAAGGAGGGTTTGAAAAGATGTTGATCAAAAAATACATAATTATAGTTAATAGAATAAGTTTAAGAGATTTTTTTTTGTACAGCATAGTGACTATAGATCAAAATAAGGTATTTGTAGTTTTGAAAGATGCTGACAATGTCATGTGCTCTTGTCACAAAAATGTTAACTATGTGAGGTAACATACCTAGAATTAAGCATTTGATGATGTGTATATACTTCCAAATATTATGTTTTACAAAATAAATACACATTTCTTTATTACAGATAGTAATGGTATGAAAGACACTAAAAGGGCAGGTGTTGCTTTTAGACTTCTGACTGGCCACTCTGGGAAAACAACAAACAAGTTTGCATAAAAAATAACACAAAATAGTTTAAAAGTTGCCATAATCTCCAAAATTTCTCCAGAGAAAATGACCAAGAAATTGACGACAGATGAGTAAGAATATAAACTGTAGACTGATCTTCACTCATTAAAAAAACACATAAGAGAGTGAAATTCCTCTGAGTTGTAATATTAATATGGACAAGAAATATTCCGAATTTCAAATCCACAGATGTCATTTTATTATTTTGCAACCTTTAACATTCACACTTAAAAATAAAAGATTCAGCAGGGCACAGTGGCTCATGCCTGTAATCCCAGCTCTTTGGGAGGCTGAGGAGGGTGGATCACGAAGTCAGGAGTTCGAGACCAGTCTGGTCAATATGATGAAACCGCATTTCTACTAAAAATAATTAGCTGGGTGTGGTGACAGGCGCCTGCAGTCCTAGCTACTTGGGAGGCCAAGGCAGGAGAATTGCTTGAAACCAAGAGGCGGAGGTTGCAGTGAGCCGAGATCACGCCACTGCACTCCAGCCTGGGTGACAGAGCAACATTCCGTCTCATAAATAAATAAATAAATAAATAAATAAATCTGTGTTGTGCTATATCATAGAACATTAAATTTAAAATTCCTCACTTACCATTAATTCTTAATAGTTTAATTTCTAAGATGTATTTTCCAGCAAATATTAAATGTGTCACACTTCGTGTAAGAATTTAATAAGATTTTCCTTTTACAGACAGAGAAAAACAATGCTAAGTTATTTAATCCTCTCATCTGTGGATAGTGTACGCCTTTTATCTTAATTGATCTGAAAGTTATATTGATAAGCAAACTTTCTAGTTAAAACAAATTTTTGAGTGCATTAAAAATACCAACTTTCTCATCAAAACCTACAAAGTACCATGTAAAATGACATGGCATGAAGACAACAGTGAGAAAACTGTAGCAATCACATAGAAAAAGAAGGAGAAGAGCTGTGATGAATACACAGAAGACACATAATAAGACAAACAAAACTAAAGATAATTAGGAAATAAGAGAAACAGAATTTTTCTTTAAGTTCAGCAATATTTAGCTTCGCAGCATGGAAAAAATATATTATCTCCACATGAAGAATCAATCTTATTTCTTCACTATTGATATTTTCCCTCTCCGACTTGAACTTACAAACTATCTCTAGCAGGAATATTTATGGCTTATGATGGAGCATCTGCTACACAGCAAGCACTGTCATGTTTGTTTGCTGCATTTATGTATATAAAAAAATCATGACTTATGAAGCATCCCTAGTTCTCACCTGAACAAATTGGCTCAATAAATATACTTATGTCAATTATAATGAGAACAAGATAAGTTAAAAAATATAGGCTTATGGAGAATTCTCCAATTAAAAGAACAAACTGAATGTCCTAATTAAATAAAATATAATACACAATTTTGGAAATATATGTAAAAATTATTTTGTGTGCACTAATTTTATAAAAATCATTATTAGTCAATAGCTCACATAATGAATACCTCATAAGCTATAAAAGAAAAAATTATAAGAGACAAGAAAATTATAGGTCTAGCATGAGTACTAGGCAAGGAAAAACAGAAAATTTTCATGGACAGATTCTGAACCATAAGTCAGAAGATTTTACAGTAATGAATTTTTTAAAAAGCAGAGTACAGATTTACTTTCAGCATTTTTAAGGTTTTCAATTTCAGTTCATAAGTCACCTTATTAAAATTTTGTTTTGTTACAATATTGCTTTGTTCTTGTGAAAATAGTTACCAACTCATATTCACACACACATACTTAACCTGCAATTTTCTTTCACCTAAGGTTTTTTTTTTAGAGTAACATATGTGCATAGCTAACTCTATGTAAATCAAAACTAAAATTCTGTATGTTTGCAGGCAGAGAGAGACCACATGTTCGAAGAAAAATACGTAATAAATTTTTTAAAATGTTCAAACAGAACTCAGAATTTTAAGACTCAGGATTTTATTTATACTTGTAAATAATTTTTATGATACTCATAAAAATGACCCTGTAGTCAACAGCAATTTAATTGTACATTTTAAAGTAAGTAAAAGTGTAGAATGGGTTAGTAGTCCAAAAGATCGATGCTAGAGTTGATAGAAACTTCATTTGCCCTGATCTGATTAATAAATTATATGACTGTATCAAAAAATGCCATATATGACATAAATATAAACAGATACTATGTACCCACAAAAATTGAGAAAACTAAGTTTAAATTATCAATAAAAATAAAAATTTAACCAATGGGAACAATATTCATTAATTTATTTGCTGTTTGAAGCCACTGGCAAAAGAAATTATTGGAGATGTTAGTCCATGATGTTATCAAATAGTCTATCGTTACCATCTTTGACCTACACCCTTGAGTAAGGTGGGATAGGTTAAAGTTAGCAGCGTAATAACACTTCATTGAATGCACAATGGTCTTATCATGTTAAAATTTTTAATTAAAAAATTAACTTTACAATAATCTAAATTTTTAAAGCTGTACTGCATTTTATTACATAAAAGTACGATTAGTAAAATTATATACTAATTAATTTTAACTAAAATTATTTTGTTTGGAGTATAATGCAGAAGAATACTACTCTGAACACTTACCTCATACATCACTCAATATTATAAACACAAAGAACCTCTCCACTTGGATTTTTATCATGCATCTTACATTGTGATGTCTTTACTCTTCCATAGAAAAATTCAAAACTAATATCCACCTAACAAAAAAGAATCTCTCATACCTTTGATGCAGCAATAATTGATCACATGCTTTCACTAGTGAATGCAATAGGAATGAAGAGCATGAAGTAATTGGAGTTTAATTACATCATTATTCACTTTTCATAAATTCTGCAATTTTTTTCAAGGAAAAAAGTATACTTTGAATGTAATTGTAACTCTGCAAAAATATTTCTACTTTTTTTAAAGTTATATACAAATAATTTATGCACCTACTTTAGTTTTAGGTTATTTTGTATACTCAGCACATTTACTTAGTGCAGTGTTTGAAGTGTCAGTGCCTTAGATATTTCTACTGTGAATTCTTTGATACTTACATACTTATTTTTGAATTGTATTTTATATTTACTGCATCTGGAAAAATATAGTTTAGTATGCATCCCCTGGTGTTTTCTAAGCTGTAGTTTTTGAAAATTTTTTGAAATGTATTACATTTGTAGTTTTTCTCCGATATAAATTCCCTGATGTTGAACAAAGTTTGAGCAACTGCTTCTGATACAAAATGTGTACAATAAGATCTGTGATACAAGCAAGGCAGGCACTACAACCCTCTTTATGGTTGTAATGTTTGTCTTCAAAATAAAAACTCTTTTTTTTACTTTAAAGGCTTATATTGACTGGGCACAGTGGCTCACACCTGTTATTCCAGCCCTTTGGAGGCAGAGGTGTGTGGATCATTTCAAGTCAGGAGTTCAAGATGAGCCTGGCCAACACAGTAAAACCCTGTCGCTACTACAAAATACAAAAATTAGCCAGGTGTGATGGCACATGCCTATAGTCCCAGCTACTCTGGAGGCCCAAGCAGGAGAATTGCTTGAACCCAGAAGGCAGAGGTTACAGTAAGCCAAGATTGCACCACTGTACTCCAGCCTGGGTGACAGACTATTACATAGTCTCATTAAAAAAAAAAAAAAAAAAAAAAAAAAAGACAAAACACAAAAACAAAAACCTTATACTTTGAGTTTTTGATAGTAATTGAATTTATAATGCTTTTATTAAGTATTAAGTCTCTAATGTTGAATAAGATGTAAGCACATATTAACGGCTTTTCCACATTCTTTATATCAGTACAATTTTTTTCTGAAGTATAAATGCTTTCCTGTGCAATAAGGTGTAGGAATTAAGGTTTTGCCATATTCTTCCCACTTCTGGGAGTTTCCTCCAGTATGGATCTTACCTACAATCAAGTGTGACAACCATTTAAAGGCTTTGTTACATTCTTCACATTTTTAGAATTTCTTACCAGTATGATTTCCTTTATGTTTAGAAAAGTTGGAAGGTTTTGTTAAAATCATTGTCACATCTCTCTGGTTTGTAACATTTTCAGTATCAATTTTCTTATGTTTAGTAAGGTTTGAGAATTGGTTAAAAGTATTACTACATTCTTCATATTTGTGGGGTTTCTCTCCAGTGTGAATTTTGTGTAAAAGGGGTTGAAAACTGGTTATTTACCAAATTTTTCACATTTGTGGGGTTTCTCCCCTGCATGAATTTTCTTACACGTAGGAAGTTTTGAGGATTATAAGTCTTGCCACATTCTTTGAATTTCCAAGGTTTTGCTCCAGTATAAATTCTCTTACATATAGTAAGTGTTGAAACTTGGTTAAAAGCTTTGCCACAGTCTTCACATTTGTAGGGTTTCGCTCCAGTTTGAATTTTCTTATGCGTAGTAAAGTTTGAGAACTGGTTAAAAGATCTGCCACATTGTTCACATTTTTAGGGTTTCATTCAAGTATGAATTATCTTATGTATAGCAAGTTGTGAGAACTGGTTAAAAGATTTGCCACCTTCTTCACATTTGTAGGGTTTCTCTCTAGTATGAATCTTCTTATGTTGAGTAAGGTTTGAGAGTTGGCTAAAATCTTTGCCACATTCCTCACATTTGTAAGATTTCTCTCCAGTATAAATGATCTTATGGGCAGTAAGGGTTGGGGACTTCTTAAAGACCTTGCCACACTGTTCACATTTGTAGGGTTTTTCTTTACTATGAATTATCTTATGTCTTGTAAGGTGTGAGGATTGGTTAAAAGCTTTTCCACATTCTTCACAATTGTAGGGTTTCTCTCAAGTATGAATTTTCTTATGTGCACTAAGGATTGAAGATCGGTGAAAAGTTTTTCCACATTCTTTGCATTTGTAGGGTTTTTCTCCAGTATGAATTAACTTATGTTCAGTAAGCTTTGCGGACAGGTTAAAAGATTTGCCACATTCTTCACATTTGTGGGGTTTCTCTCCGCTATGAATTATCTTATGTGTAGTAAGGGTTGAAAACTGGTTAAAGGCTTTGCCACATTCTTCACATTTGTAGGTTTTCCCTCTAGTGTAATTTTTCTTATGTTCAGTAAGTTATGAAGATAGGTTAAAAGTTTTGCCACATTCCTCACATTTGTATGGTTTCTCTCCAGTATGAATTACCTGATGTTTAGTAAGGGTTGGGGACTTCTTAAAGACCTTGCCACATTGTTCACATTTGTAGGGTTTCTCTTCAGTATGAATTATCTTGTGTCTAGAAGGTGTGAGGACTGGTTAAAGGCTTTGCCACAGTGTGCACATTTATAGGGTTTTTCTCCAGTATGAATAATCTCATGTTTAGTAAGGCTTGAGGATTGGTGAAAGGCTTTTCCACATTCTTCACATTTGTAGGGCTTTTCTCCAGTATGAATTTTCTTATCTTTAGAAAGGTTTGTGGACCAGTTAAAGGTTTTTCCACATTCTTCACATTTGTAGAAATTCTCTCTAGTGTGAATTCTTTTATGTTGAGTTAGACGTGAACACATGAAAAATGATTTGTCACATTCTTTACATCTGAAATGTTTATTTTCAGCACGTCTTATCTTGTGTCTATTTGAATTTGAAAATTTATGAATGACTTTTACATATTTATTACACTGAAATATTTTGCTCTAGGTAGTTTTCAAACATTGGCCAAGTCCATTATAACCTACTTGGTGTCCCTTACACTCATCCATACTTTTACAGCTTTTTCTTAACTGTAAATTCTTATGTCCATACTTTCCATATCTGCTCAGTGTCACCTTCTGGAAAGAATCTCTTATGTTCTGCTCTAGCCAAAGGTCTTGGGCAAAACGAGAACACATAGCTGAAAGAAACAAAAATAACAAATTACTCCACCTGCTAGACTCAGATGAATATACTTTACAAATTTAACCTATAAAATCATACCAACTACATAAGCAAGACGGCATAGCAAAATACCACAGGTTCTGATTCCTTCATAGATATATAAATGTAACAAAAACATACTGACCAAAACCTATCTGTGGAGAATTAATAAATGAGTTAAGTGTGTGCAGTGCCCCAGGTTTGCACAATGCAAAGAGCTACACAAAGGGGAGAGAAAAATCTCTCACATTTACCCAACGCAGCTCTTTCTGTTCCCCGATGTAACACAGCACCTTTAGAAGTAAACTGCCAACTCGGTTTCTTTTTCAAAAGGCAAGAGAAATAATAATATACACATCTTTATTTCTGGCTTGTAGGTGCTTTTGCAGACACTGGTTTCTGTTTCCTGTGACAAAAAGTGCTAAAACAAATGGCAGTATACTTTGGAATGACAAAATTTTGAGTCCACTGAGATCAAAGGTAAATGCTACAGCTACTAAGAGACAATGAACAGTTGTGGCAAGTGACTACTGACTATTAAGAAGAAACAAGAATGAACTAAAAAAAAACCCTAAAAAATTTCAGACATGACACATCCTAAGAAAAAGTCTGAAAGACTCTCAGAATCTTTAGTCAGACAAATGGTCTTAGACTTTGCCAGGATAAAGTTACATTATAAACACTCACAGGTAGCTTTTTTTAATGTTCAAATTTCAAATAAAGATTACAATGTATACAAACTATTAGGGCAATGTAGCCCTATCAATTATAAAATTTTCAGAAAGCAAGCATTAAAAAATAAAGATATGGGCTTGGCATGGTGGCTCATGCCTGTAATTCCAGCACTTTGTGAGGATGAGGCGGATATATGACCTTCTGTCAGGAGTTCGAGACCAGCCTGGCCAACACAGAGCAAGATTCTGTCTCAAAAACAAAAACAAAAACAAAACAAGATGCACAAATATGTTTTAAAAATTTTAAATAAATTGAATAATACTCCATTAGTGTAACAGGAACACAGACAACTATTAAAAATCAGAAAAATGGGAATAACAACAAAACAATGAAAGATATTAGAAAACAGAAATTGTGGAGGCAAAAAATACAAAAAATAACTGAAATACTATAAGATAAAATGATGTAAAAATGAAAAGGCTCAACAAACTAGAATACATACAAAGATACTTATATAACAAGCAGATATATAAGCACAATTTAAAAAGTCACAGACGAGAATCTTGGGAGCTGCAAGATGAAAATAATGTGTCATTTATAAGCATAATCTTGTGAGATAACCAGTTAATTTTTCATGGAAGTTTTGCAGGTCAGAAGGAAACTGTGTGATATAATGAAAGTGCTGAAGAAAACAGCTGTTAAGTGAGAATAATACCAGCAGCAAAACTGTCCTGCCAAATAAAAACACCTTCCAAAACAACCAAATCCTGGAAAAGTATATTGGCACTGCATTTGCCCTACATATCAAAGATGCTGAAAGGAGTTTCTTCCACTAAAAATGACACAATGCAAGAAAGCAACACATAATCATATGAGAATACATCACTTTCTGGGAAAGACATGCACATACACAAAAATGGAATACCTTAGCATTATAATAATAGTGCAGAAAACATTTCTATTTATTCTCTAAAATGTGAAAGATAAAAGCATAAAAATTTTTATAAACATCTGCTAACATACCACATAAAAATATGTAATTGGCAACATCGCCAACAAAATTGAGAACAAATGTAATGAGAGAACTGTTGAATCCAACTGAAGTTTATTTTTTACCAGGTTAAAATATATTGTTTTATCTTTTGGAGGTTTTATGTAATCTCCAAGGTACAAGAAGAAAAATACCTGTATAGATACACAAAAGAAAATAAGACAGAAACGAAAGCATATCAGTAAAAAAAAATCAAAAAGACACAAAGGAAGACAGAAAAAAAGAAAATGAGAAAGATATAATGAATTAAACAATAAAATAACATTAGTAAGTCTCAGAAAATTATTTAAATATATATAAAATTAACTTTTGGATCAATGGATACACTTTTTTTTTCTTCTTTTTTTTTTTTTTTTTTTTTCGAGATGGAGTTTTACTTTTATCACCCAGGCTAGAGTGCAATGGCATGATTTCGAGCCACTGCAAACTCAACCTCCCAGTTCAAGCAATTCTCTTGTTTTAGCCTCCCAAGTAGCTGGGATTACAGGCACCCATCACCATGCCCAGATAAGTTTTGTATTTTTAGTAGAGATGGATTTTCACCATATTGGCCAGGCTGGTCTCAAACATCTGACCTCAGGTGGTTCACCTGCCACCAAAGTGCGAGGATTCCATGTGTGAGCTACCATGCCTGGCCTCAATAGACATATTTTCCATCAATGAATCCATAGAAAAAAATTTAAAAACGAACATCCAACTTTTTTACAAGTCAGTTGAAGTGTCATGATAACAAAAGAATAAAAATGGCAAGATGGATGTAGACATTCCATGCAAATATTAACAAAACAATGGCAGAAGAGGTCAAAATAGTATTACACAAGCTGCATCTTAAGTTAAAGACTATCATGTTATAAAATGTACTTTAAAGTCAAAACTCCAAAGAGATTTTTTAAAAATTATAAAATAATAGATTCATTCACTGGGAACCTATGACAAATTTCTACATATGTGTGTGTGTTTCAGTTTGTGTATCTCACATTAAAGTTCCAAATATATAAAGTAAATATTGAAAGAATGGAGGAAACATATAGAGAGCAATATAATTATAGTAGAGTATTTTAATACCCACTTGCTCTAATAAAAATAAGACAAAATATTAGTAAGGAAAGAGACGGCTTAAAGGCACTATAAAACAATCAGATTTAACAAAGAGGTATAGAGAATACTCCTTAACAACATTAATGTTACACACTCTTCTCAATAGCTCATACAACATTCTCCTCAATAGGACACTTGGTAGGCCAAAAAAGAAGTCTTAACAAATTTTTTACAACTGAATTTGTATAGATTACTTTCTATAACAAACATGAAATAAGAGTATACAACAATAGAAAAAAACGAAAAATTCACAAATATATAGATATTAAACAACATACTCTCTAGCATACTCCTGTTCAAAGGTTGAAATAATAAATGTTGTAAATATGTCCATACTGCTCAATGTAATACACAGATTTAATGCAATGTTTTCCAAATTTCTCATTGCATTTTTGAAGAAATAGAAACAGCAACCCCAAAGGTATATACTTGTCAAGAGACAATAAAGTACCAAACCAACTTCAAAAAAAAGGAACAATGTTGGAGGCAGAACAGTTCCTGATTTCAAAACATATTACAAAGCTACAGAATTAAAATAATTTGGTATGAGTACAAATGTTAAAAAGTAGACTAATAAAATAGAATGCAATATATATATAAACTTTCAAATAGTCATATGAAGAATCATATTTATACTCATAATTATCACAGCATTGTTAGTGAAAGCCAATGGGTAAAAGCAATGCAAATTTCTGTCAACAAATCATTCAGTAAACATAATTTATCACTCATTTTCCAAAAACCAGAAAATATTCTAACAACTATAAGGATAAGTCTTGATAACATTATGCAAAATAAAATGAGCCAGCCACAGAAAAGATTGTATAAGATATATGAAGCACTTACACTCTTAGAATCAGGAAACAAAACAGTGTTTGAAAATTGCCATGAAATGGAAAAAAATGGTAGTTGTTTAATATGTAGTGAGATGTAGCTTTGCAAGATAAAAACATCCTAGGGATATGTTGCATAACATTGTCAATATAATTAAGATGACTAAACTGAATATTTTAAAATACTTGATTGTAAATTTTGTTATGTGTTTTTGACAGGTAAAAATAAACAATATCTAAAAAAAAAGAATTATGATAGTTTTAAAATTACCTTCAAATCCAAAAGTTTTTTTCTCTCAAACAAACATAATATTGATTCACAAATAAACGGATGTTGAAATTAGGAGAATTTTTTTGACTTCTCACCTAGACAAGATTAAACAACCATTCACAACAAACCAACACCACAAATAAACAAGTTATAAAAAATACAAGGATAATATTCATAGAGGCAAACAGAGATAATTATATTGGCAGTAGACATATGGCTGATTCATATTTGACTTTGCTCCACACTGTCTTGAATTGTACAGACATAAATACTGTCACACACAATATAATATCACATCAAAATACAATTGATTGGTTTGAGGTGGCGCATATCCTAAAATTATCTAAATCAAAGCTATAAAATTGCAGAAGAAAATTAAAACATGGAAGGTAAAACTTACTAGACACCATCAAGTACATCAATATATTCATGAAAGAAATCTTAGAAGAATATTGAAAAATAAAAGTAATCCAGAGCTTTCTTAAAGACAAAAATGTCTGAAAACTTTCCAAGTTTTGATGTAATTTAAAAACTCTAACCAATAATACTTGATTCACAATTATTTGACTTCAAAAACAAGATAAAAATAAAGACTTTCCAAGATAAAAGGTGAGGATGTTTATCACCACTAGAATACTTCTACAAAAAATGTTATGTGGTGGCCAAGCACAGTGGCTCATGCCTGTAATTCTACAGCTTTAGGAGGCCATGGCAGTCAGATCACTTCAAAGCAGGAGTTGAAGATCAGCCTGAGCAACATAGTAAGACACTGCATATAAAAAAAAGTATGCTAAAATGAGTCCCTTATGTTGAAAAATGGACACCATTATAAAAATATTTGTAAACATAAAGCTCTTGATTAAATGCAAATATATAGACACACATTCTTTACTATAATAATGATGGTGCATAAAACCCTTAAACTTCTATAGAATATGAAAAATGAGGCCAAGCACAGTGACTTACACCTGTAATCCCAGCACTTTGGGAGGCAGAGACAGGTGGATTGCTTGAGGCCAGAAGTTTGAGACTAGCCTGGCCAACGTGGCAAAAATTAGCTGGCCGTTATGGTGTGTGCCTTTAATCCCAGCTACCTGGGAGGCTAAGGCACAAGAATTGTTTGAACTTGGGAGACAGAAGTTACAGTGAACTGAGGTCACACCATTGCACTCCAGCCTCAGGTGCAATGAAACTCTGTGAAGACAGTGAAACTCTATCTCAAAAAAAAAAAAAAAAAAAAAAAAGGCAAAATGAAATATTAAAATTTTAATAAATACACATATTTAAAAAAAATTAAGTCCAGGCTCGGTGGCTCACACCTATAATCCCAGCACTTTGGGAGTCCGAGGTGGGCAGATCACCTGAGGTCGAGGTCGGGAGTTCGAGACCCGCCT